CATTACTTCAAATCACCTAACTACAAACGATTGCATATAATTCGATAATTTCTTCTGGTTTACGCAACGCAAACGTCCAATTTTACGCCAGTATTCAGAAATATATGTGATAATTAATAACTGAATATAAATAGCCAACAAGTCGCATACAATGTAAGCTTCAACTTTCGGTTTCAAGCAAGATGCCGCAAGCCTTGAATATACAAGTCTGTAGTAAACACATGCATAAATACGGATATACTCCACGAGTATACTACGTTATAACATGTTCCTGTCTACTTCTGTATCTAAAGGGATAGACAGACAAATTAGAAACAATTTGAACTATATCTCAGCATAAACTGAACTTTTTTTAATTGTAAATAATAATACGATTTACAAAATTTAGCAATAAATTTCACTACAACTAAAATAACATGCTTGCTTTTTATAACTACGTATTGGATAATGCCGATAGTGTAATAAATTTAAGTATAATTGCTGTCCAAGCTGCCGAAACATTACATTTGATTGCAATTAGAAGACGAGGTTGGCAAGTCCTCATGCAGTCAGCGTAATGAATAAAGGAGGGGCTTACTTTGACATTAACAAACAGCTTAGTGCTCGTATATCCTAGTTTTATTTTTGAATAATTGGTTGTTGTAAATTAATTACTTTTCTAATTAAACGACAGAGAGTTATCTCGTAATAAACAAATGTATTTAACTTTAATACTGTGTTATATATTAGAGCAATAAATGATTAGCTGAAATTGCGTCGTAAATTACGAATTTGGTGTCACGTAAGCGCATTTTATTGCACCGGTTACACGCCTCTTGTTTTTTCGCACAAGCGAACTTTAAGAGCACTTAAAGTGAATTATAATTACACAGAGAAAACAGGTAGGTTTGCATGATTAAGTGGAAATGTTCTGATTAATGGTTTCTCTTCGTGACCCGGAGGAAAATACGGTGACTTGTGATTAAGCTTGTGCTTTTTTTATAAATATTCATTATCAATTTTATATACCGCTCGTAATATCCGTCTGAACTGGTCCGTTTTCTCTTTCGACGAAATCGTGCAAGTGCAGGACAATAAATCAGAAGTGTAAAGTTACCTCAATTTACGCTCATTATTTCAGTCGCATGTGCAATTTGCCGTAAGCTAATTGTATTAATTAATGCACATTAAGTTTGGATGCGTTCAGAATTTTGTGTAAATATTTAATGTTGATTTCATAAATAATAACACATCTCTGAACGCGTCGCCCTTGCCTCGTCTCAGCTATTTGGAATATTTTATACCAATTACAATATAGAATGCTGCGAGAATTTACATGGCAACCAAACAAACATGTCTTATTTAATGTAAGTATACGTGTGTAAATTTACTCTACATTTTAATTGAAGTAAAATTTTCCTCTCTCATTATTATTTTTAACACATTTAGGACACACTACACACAAGAAGGAAAGAAGTTAATTGAAAGTTTTTATATGTAAGAAATTGACAACAGTATCTACTACTTGTAAAGTAATGTGTTATCAAAGCTAAAACAAACCAAATCTCAAGAACATATTTTCTAAGTACAGTGGTACTATAAGAAAAATATATGTATGTAGAAACTAATTTATTTATTCAGAGTAAAAAGTTTCATAGCGTTTCAAGTGCGGGTAGGGCAAAGCGAAACCGAAATTGGTCGCAATTAGCGATTTCGCACAGCTCTGGCGGTTGGCGGGTGGCGGGTTGCTGGCGGGTGCGATGACGTCCGCTGACCCGTGTCGCGGGTCAGTCGAGCCCGCTCGCCCGCGCAACGGTACCACGCTTAAAGCGACCACTTGGATAATTGCACCCGTTATTCACCATCAGATCGGGTCAGTTATAATACTATCAGAATATGTTAATGGTTGATAAATTTCATAATAATGAAATGTAATAAACAAGACGCTGGTTAAAAAATCATATAAGTACAGTTTATTTACCGTTGGATACAAATGATACTTTTGAATTTTTTCTGTGCATTTTAAGGGTCCAGTCAATTATCTCTTTACACTGATAGGTTGCCTCTGTACATTTCTTTAAAACTATTATCATGGTAAAGGTATCTTAATTACATAGATTTTTTTTACGTTATCTAAATGTTCCATGCCATAATTTTAATAGAAACATTACTTCTGTAAATCAAACAATATTAGAAGCTTAACAAGACTGTTACTAAATGTGATTACGAGGACGGAACGATAACATCATTGAATGCTTAGAGTTGCTGTACCGTGGGACAGTGTCCGTTTGGACCGCGAGCACGCCTATTCTTCAGGGCGGGGCGGGTTGCCATTGGTTACCGACAGACCGTGACAACAGTTTCATTGGACAAACAGACAAGTGAAAGTTAATAACATTTTTCGTAACACCTTGGACATAATTATAAAATAAAAAGATAGGTCATGTTTGCAACATTCCAATTTCTCTAATTAAATAATAAATGACCGAAGTGTTTGTCTCGTTGGGTAGTTCAAAATATTATGTATATTTCATACATTTTATATCAATGATCACTTAAATAATAGTAATGATGAAGCTTTTAATTTTATGACTACTTAAATGTATTTTTAAATAGTATAGCTACAGTTTATTTCTAAAAAACTTAATTCGTCTTAAAATGTTAACCATATTTAAATTCATGTTATTGTTAGCGCCTTCTAGACCGGCAATTTTATTTTATTGTCTTTTTTTCTAGGGAAACGATAAAACAGCATGTTTATTCATCTACAATTAATTAATTATTTATTTAACTCTAATCTTAATTTGTTAACATATATTAGTAGAATGACCAAACTCGTTATTTTCCTGATTTTCTTTGACGTCAACATCCATAGACTTACTCGCGTTACTGAACAAAAAGAAAATATTATTAGCAAAGCAATGTCTATTTTCCTTTGTTTAATGCTTTAAAAAAGCAATCTGTTCTTTGCTTGTTCCATCCAATTATAAATCGATGTCATCCCAGTAATCCAGTAAAATTGCATTTTTATTTTTTCAATAGCATGGGTTATTTTCAATTTACAGTTACGCTGAATTACTTTTTGACTAAAGGTATGTAGGCATCGCTCCGGCTATTATAAACAAATAGATTTTGTACTGTGAAACGCATTAAGATGCAAATTGGTACTCGTATAACTCGAAAATTAGCATTACGAGCGACAATATTGAATAGTGACTCAGCAGATCAGACCATAGGCTCCGGTTATAATGTGACGCAAGTCGCTCACGAGCAAGCCCAGTCGACAAGTTGATTGCAGCGAACCCGCCCAAACCTTCAATGTACACCAGTGAAATAAAATTCTAAAGAGGCATACGCGGAAGACATAAAAGACTTTGATAGTTATAACAGTTCTTTTATTATAAAATGATTCAATTATCGAGATTAGTGACCAATTACACTGCTTCGTTTCAACAATGGTGAAAGTGGAAATCTCTTTTAACGATGCAAAAAAACGGCGTTATGACTAAGATCAAATCAAGATAAGATAAAATCAAGTTAATATCGTGCTATCGCCAGTTTTTGCAAAATATATTGTCAAAATATCAGTAAATGGAGAAAAAGATTAAAAATTAAGAATTAAGCCAATGTCTTGACATCATAAATTAGTATGATCGCTACTTATCAAAATGATTATTTATTAAAAAATTCGTCCTTCGTTTGTCTTTAGGAGATCCAGTTGGTATAATTAGAATTCACCTTGAATTAACTAAAATCTCGTTGTGAGTTGTGACTCATTGCACAATAGACAATACAAACTGCAAAATGCTCTAACCAACCATGTTTTTTTTTAATGAAATATTTTTTGTATTACACAATGTCACTTTAGTTTGTCTAAATAAGATAGATTAGTTTGATAAATGACTCATATGAAGTTTCAAATTAACTTTGTATGAAGGCAAACGCTGAACTTAATAGACAGGTATCATAGTGACGGAACAAACGCCTAGCGAACACGTTTGAACTATAGGTATTCGGTTTAAATAGATTTTATGAACTTAACTAAAATTATAACTTTCTTATTAACTAATTTAGTGGACAATTCTAGTATTGATTATAGTGTAGAGAATTTAGCGATAATAGAAATAATAGCGAAATCAAATTCGCTTACGTACGGCTGTAGTAGTAAAAAATTGTTATAAAATCGATACGAATGACTTTTTAAAAAAATATGTCAGTCGAGCGGTAATATGAACAATACTAGTGAATTACTTTAACACTAAGGGTGAGTTGCATCATATCGCCGGTTACCGTTAAAGTTAAAATTATTTGTAACGGTAATATTTTGAATAACCTTAAAATTTACTAAAAACAACAACGTAAAAGATATAGAACGTTCCGTGGTGACGACTAGAAATGTATACTGAGCTACTGAGCGACTGAGGTACTAAATGCCAGAGAGCTTGTTCGCGACTGTGTGCAACTGAGCGGCCTAACCCCTTGCAAAGTCCTTTATAAAACTATCCCCCACTACTACTTCCGTTTGTATTATTTTGCAAAAAAATATCTATTTACTATCATTATTTGTAATGGTTCTGCTAGTCATTGTTAATTTGACTAAACAGTGTTTTTTTTAAATCTTAGATTACAATTTACTTAAGAATAAAAATCGAAAAGATTCATGCTTGATTTTACTCAACCCATCCCTACTAAATTGTCATATGAATTGACATGAATTGTCAAACTAATCTATCTTATTTAGACAAACTATAGCAAAAGATTTAGCTCAAATATAACATTGTAGCTGCCCTGAAAATACCTAAGAAAATATTATAACTGATAATGAAATTCATATAAACCAAAATTGTACTTAAGTCTGTAAAGTGTAAATCCTAAAATGGAAATGAGTAGTAGTACTTACAATGTGATGTGGAAATAGTATCAATATTACTTAAATAAAAAAGAAAGATTTTACACAATGAAGACTTGTGCAAAAGCCTTGTATCTATAATTAAACATTACTTAATCTGTCAACGTCAAAATTGTCAACCGATATGACTGACAGATTGAACAAACACAATTTTATCTTTTGTCGCTATTGGAAAAGTTAAAAATTTAACCCGCAAGTTCCCCTATTCGTAGTTTTCGACTAATTATTTTGGATAATATCGATCTGAAAAAGTTTTATGCTAAATATGATAACTAATTTTGATAACCTGTGTAGTGAATTAGAAAAACAAGAGTTAGAGGTAATAAAAGAACCTTTTTGAATGACTAAAAATTCCCGCAACTTTTATTACATACTTAACCTTTATATTTTCAGGCAACTAATGGTGTTGCTTCGCCATCCACGTATGCTCAGTTATTGGCCATTTATTTGTACCAAAATGATTTGTAAGTATCTTTTTACTTCATAAAAAATGATTGCATTCATTCCAATTTCAGGCGCAAAATGTATACCTATTTAAATTGATTTATTTAAGAAACCACTCAGCATGTGTGCTGATCTTGATAAGTAATCAGATATGGAGAGATAACAATATAAGGACATATCAAAAATCTATAGCATAATTTTAAAGTGAGATAGTTCAATTTACAAGCTATTTTTTTAGTGAAAATGATTTATTCATTTTGCATTTAAAATGTTTTTACATTACTTAAATAAGTTTTCCTTATGCTCTGTTATTGGAAATTTGTTCAATTAGTTGTTTTTTTTTTATTTCAGATGCAATGCAAAATTCTTATGGAAAAGAATACCACCAAATATTATTAGCAGTAATCCAGAAATAGCTGCAATCTGGACTGTGGGTCAGAAGTTGTGGAAAAAAGATCTTGCCGGAACATATCAGGCCCTTGCAATGTACAACTGGACTGAACCAATATCTAACATCATTAGGGCGCTTGAAGGTAACATATTTAAAAATACACTAGAAACACCTGATAAATGACATTTGTTAAAACATATCTTCACATATCATATATCTATAATCTTACTTCTTACTAATATGATAAATAAGTTTGGATGGATGGATGGTTGTTACAAAACTTCCCATATGTAATGTGGATCTGGATAAAATTTGCTTTAGGTGTAGAACACAATCTTAAAAACACAAAGACTATAAAGCTTTTTCGCATAACAGCTAGCCATAATTAAAAAAAATTGCATTTTCAGAGAGGGTGCGAGAAAGGGCTCTCAATTTAATCGGGCGCTCATACAGTTCTATCTCACATAATACCATGGTCTCTATGACTGGACTCAGCAATGAAGCAATTACACAAATTTGCAAAGAACGTAAATGGGAGATAAGTGAGGACGGAACTACAATTAAACCGGTACCCCCAGTTCAACCAACACCACTGCATACATCTAGTGAAGATCAGCTCTTCAAACTAACAGATTTTGTGACCTTCTTGGAAAACTAAGGTACTTAACCATAATATAAGATTTTTTAAAAGCCTCTAGAGTGTTTTATAAAGTGGCTGTTCGGATACAAACCAAATTACTTACTTGTCCATCTAAGTAATAAAGAATGTTGTGATTTATGCTATCTTTATTGTACAAAATGCAAAAAATTATTCTTAATTGATGTAGTTATTAAAACCAAGCAGGCTTTTTTGGCTTATGATTTATTACTGATTATTATTGATGTAGAATAAATTCCAACATAAATGTGGCATGTCTTGGCTATTTGCAATCTTTTGTATTGAAAAATATTTAATCTATTACAACTCATAGCTAAGTATTTTACATAAATAATGCCAATAAAATATTCTTAAGCATTATTTCTTTTATTTAATGCCTTAATAATTCTTGTAGGTTTCCACTATTTTAAAACAGAGGTGCACTTTTGTATTATTTATTCAATTTTTTTGGATAGATTTCTAAAAATAAGACAAATTGTTTTAAAAAATGTTTTATTTGCTTACATAAATATCATATAAAATGTAAAAGTTATTGGCAGTGTCAAAATATACAAAATCTTATAAATAATATTGAGTAATATGGTATCGGTTATTGGGATTCAACAACAAAGTATTGACAATTTAGATAAATAAGCATGTAAAGGTATTTAAAAATCTCACAAACTATTCTATTCTTAAATTCGATGTTTTTAATTTTAAAAAACTTTTGAGTCATAAATCAGGAATCGAAACCTTAATACAAAATGAGTATCTACAAATGCTTAATCTAAACGCTTCAATCAACCATTCCTTTGTTGAACAATTTGGCAACTTTTGAATTGATTAAATTTATATTCTATCTAATATCTACCCTGGAAAGTGACTTGGTTTTGTCTTGGTTGTAATCTCATAGAGTTGATATCATCGTCATCGCCCAGCGAAGTCTCGTATGCGCGGTTTATTTGCCCTCCGTTCGGTTCGGCGAATACGTCTTTCACAGATATATTCGCAGTCGACGTACGATGACGGGGCGCGGCACCATGGTTATTGTTTAACTGAGAAATGTAAGAAATTTTTATATACTCACGAATTATAACATAATTAATTCCACATACAGTTGATACCAACATATTATTTAATTCTGACATGTTAACACTTTCATAAATAAACGCAGATTTTTCGGGCGGGCAACATAACAATTCGTAACTAATATGAAATTGAATATTAAACTTTTTTAATGATCATCATGATGGCTATAATAATAGGCATATTTTTAAAATTTTTACTAATGTTATAAAGAGGAAAGATTTCTTTTTTTGTATGTATTTAAATAACACAAAAACTACTGGGCTGATTTCAAATTTTTCACCATTGAAAAGCTATGATATCAGTGAGTAACATAGGCTATGTTTTTAGTGTCACGGTGACAAAGTCGCGAGCAAAAACTAGTAAATACTAACTAGTAAAAATAACTTATAATGCTAGTAATTAATAACATATAGAGTAAATTACCATGCCAGTAACGCCATATTCATTATTCGCTCCAAGGGTCTGCATTTGCGATTTCCTTCTTTCTGCCATCACAGAGTTTCGTCTTGTTTCCAATGCTTTTAGAGTTTCTCTACGTAACGTCATCTTGCGATTCAACACTGGGGTACCTGGAATTGTACAAACGTATGTTGTTTGTTATTTAATGGAAAAAAAAATGATTACCCGATTAGTTGTCTATACAAGTAAAGTAAAAAAATACCTGGTCCTTCGTTAGCGTTCATATTGAAGAAACGTTTCTTGAAAGCAACATCGAGTGTTCCGATATTCCTCTTCTTTTGCCGAGCCTTTTCCAAATTGTGTATAGTTTTTCTTCGTCCCACATTCTGCGGCCCTGATCCCGAATCATTGTCATAATCATCGTCAAGGCCATTTAGTTTTTGTAAATCTTTTACTATTGCTATCGCATTCTTGTCCAATAGAGCATCTTGGGACAGGTCTTCAGACTAAAAAGATAAAAACATTAATGTTTCCAAAATTAAGCTCTAAAGTATTTAATTACAATCTAAATGAATTGAAATGAAATACTTTACCTTCTTGGTACAGAACCAGTTTAATTCTGTAGACGCCAAGATATGTGAAATAGTTCCGAATCGATGGAACAACATAGCAGTGAATTGGATAACCAAAATCAAAGCGAAGAAAAACACGAAAACTAAACCGATGGGTTCCAATTGCAAATATTCTTTCGAAATAAGCACCTGAAAATATTAAATTAAAATTAATTTCTCTATCCTAGCTTAGGTTTTGCGCATAACTAAAAGCCTTTAAGTACGCATAAAAAGCATTTTTAATAAACATGAACAAATAGCAATATCGAATCATTCCTTGAATCAGAACGTGGTAAAATGAACATATAATATGATATGATCAATTGATAATAAATAATGATTTATCGTGAATATGAAAAAAGCAAAACACATATAATGATGTGCGATATATATTTATGAAAGTGATTTCTGAATTTTCACGAACTGGCTTAATTTAATAATACACTCTATATTAATGAAAAATTATAGACAGTTATGTTACACAAATCACCACGTTCTTTGATAATAATATGTACAAGGAAAATAAATAACCATCCAACCAAGTTTAATAGAAAAATCCACCACCTTAATAGACAGAAAAACAACTCCTCGGGGTATTGGGTTGAGTGCAAACATTGTAGGTAGGAACGAAAAACAAAAACAAAAACTCAAACATTAATTTAGAAACACGGCTTGTTTCTATCTTATTTGTAGATAAAACTGTAGAAGGAAGGGTTTCCAAGGCTAGGGGTTCAGGGCTTATAATTAGATTATGTGTAGAACCGTTGTCGCCCAATTTTAGTTGTCGGTGTAGAAAAAAAAACTGGGACATCCATGCTGGTGCCATCCCAAAACAGACCGGTTAGAAGAAGGTCGTTAGACTTGTGAAGTGACACACAGAACCGGGTAAACTTTGGCTATACCTCGCCTGTATCCTCGATGTACGTAATATTTGTCTTTACTCCCAAAGGCCAAATCACGTGGAGTTGATCTTTGTTCAATTGTAATAAAAATACTATCAATATGAATAAAGCATTGAACATTACAAATGCAAAAACTGACTTATTGCGAAGCTCTATCAAGTCACGTGCAATTCGTGCCTGTAAAATTACATAAAACAATAAAGATTAGCTGCATCGACTTTCAAAGTTGACTGGGCACATGGTGCTACATAATGGCTTAGGGTCTAATACTTTTTCTCTGCGTTATACAAGGAGCCGTCCTCAGTCATCGTTGAAGGCCGATTGCCACGAAGTAGTTTCTCACGTTACCTCTTGTGAAACCTCATCATACGTTATATTAGTTTTAACTCCAAAAGGCCACTTAAAGTGTAGGTTGTCCTTGTTCAGTTGTAGCAAAAATACAATGAGTACAAAAAGAGCATTGATCATAAAGAATGAAAACACAGAAGAGTCTCTCAATTCTTTCAGGTCTCTGGATATACGTGCCTAAAATTACGGGAAGGTGCAAATGTTTAAAAATTTAGATTTTATTGTTTAAAATTGAATTTAAATAAGCATATCGATGCATGCAATTTTATTTTTAACGTATTGAATAAAGTATTTAAAACATTTAAAAATAAAACAAATTATTGTTTCGCACATACCAAAAGTCCATGTTACCGTGTGTCGAGTTCTTTTACTCATTCATTTTAAATGTTTTTATAGAATCCATTTAAAGTCAGATATTTTTAAAGAACTTAATTAGCAATACATGCATATCAAAGCTTACCTGCTCCTCTTTATTTGCATCAATGGGATACAAATATTTATCAATTAAATCCTTCCAGAATTGTGTTTCAGATTGGCTCAAAAAGTCAACTTCACCCTTCTTCAGTTCAGGGTCTTCAATCCAGTATGGATTTATCAAGTCATCTCTTCTCTCCTATAACAAAAATATAAAAACAATGTGTTTAGTGTTATTTATTCAAAATCTAACATTTTTTAAACACTGTCGCTCTATTCTATATGTCTTTCTCCCTTACTCTAGGTGCGGTCGACATTGTGTCCGCTTCAGAAGTTAGATCGTTGTCTTCTTCGGGCCCTTCTGCCAGGGGATCTAATTGATGATCACCAGCATTGCTTCCTCTCGGTCCTACAGATAATTTTCTCCCTCTATTTAATCCATGGGGATCCACAGTTCTGTAAAATTAAAATGATTCAGTTATTTTTCATACGTAAAATATGATTTGTTTAGAATAAGAAACGTACCTCTCAATTGTATCTAATTTCTTTTCCAATTTTTCAAGAGTCGATGCAATATGCAGCAGTTGTACTTTCTCTTCATTTCCTTTAGGATGTGTGCACAATAAACATTTGAACAATCCAGCAAACGAAAACTCAATTGAACCTTCTTCTTCATTGCTATTAACTCCTTGGAGGAAGCCCAAGAGGGATTTTTGTTTGGCATTTTTCTTCGCTTCTTCGGCCTCTTTTTTTTCTTGTTCAATTTCCTTTAAAATTAATAGTCACATTAGTTACATTAAGGAAATTATTCAAGAATGCTTGAAATACAACAGTATTACAGGAAATATCGTTCTTACCTTTTTAGTTTTCTTTACTTGTACCTCGCGAGTACCCCATGATACGACGTTTAGATTAATGATGGAGTACAAAATCAAAAGCAAGTACATAGAGGGTATAGATAGCAAGTAAATGATACCAGGTACAATACACCAAAACTCTTGAGGATGCAAACACGCTGCTATAAAGAATGAACTTGACAAGGATATCAAGAAGATAGCAGAAGGTGATCCGATACCGTCCTCGCCCAACTGGAGCGCTGTACCGACGATTACAGCCATCATTATCATCGCATATGCAGTCGAAAGAATTTGAGCCACCAGTAACTAAAAAATAAATAAAACTGATAAATGCCAAGTTAGTAATCATCTACATCTTAGAAAATAGAAAAGAAAGTGTAAAATAATAAAGAAAATTAAGACTGAAAATATGTTCACATTTTTTTAATTAAAATAGCTTGTCTTCTTACCTGTATTTCGGATTTCATTGTAAAGCAGACGAACATAAATAACGCAATCGGGTACAGGTTATATTCGAAGGATGTCCAGTTGTCGATTCTAAAAGCCGCCACGAAGGCACCCACCAACATAAGGAATATAGTGCCAGGGCCGAGAATAGTACCACCCATTAACATCATCTGTAAACATCCATACATTATTTTAAAAACAAAATTCTCTTTTGTTTCATTTCTTCTAAAACACTTTACTCACCTGATAAGCGATATAAGGTGTCGAAATGTTGTCGTTGATTTTGATTGTGT